GTGTTTGACTGAGGAGATGTTGGAAGTGTGGGGGGATACTGTCCTCCATGGCATCAAGGAATGTATAATCGGAAGGAGACTGTGAGGGTGCATAGGGGAAAGTAGACTCATCAAACGTGACATGGCAAGACACTATAATTTTCTGAGTGGTGAGATCAAGACACCGATACCCACGCTGAGACTCGGGGTAGCCAAGGAAAATGCACCGCGCAGAACGGGGGGCTAATTTATGAGGGGTGGTGGCGGATAAATTTGGGTAGCATAGGCAACCAAAAAACACGTAGGTGATGGTAGGGTGGGGGGGTGTTATATAAGGCTTCATGAGGGGTACGTTTTTGTAGTGTGGTGGTGGGTAAAAGGTTAAACAAATGAGCAGCCATGTGGAGGGCTTCGACCCAAAAATGGGGGGGTAAATTGGCTTGGAATAGAATTGTACGAATGGTGTTATTTATGGTGCGAATGGTGCGTTCTGCGCGGCCATTTTGTTGGCTCGTGTAAGGACAAGAGAAGCGAAACAAAATCCCCAATGATTCAAAGAATAAGGCAAGTGGGTTGTTACGGTATTCAGTGCCATTGTCACATTGTACAGCTTTAATGGTCGTGTTAAATTGGTTTTTGACAAGTGCATGAAACTTGACCAAATGAGAGTAAGCATCTGATTTGTGACGTAAAGGAAACACCCATAAATAATGAGAGAAATCATCAAGTAGGAACATGTAAAATTTAAAACCAGTCACACTAGAAACAGGAGATTGCCATAAGTCTGTATGCATTAATTGAAATGGAAATTGAGAAATACGACTCGACGACTGAAACGGTAGGCGAACATGTTTGCCTAGTTGACACGCATGACAAAGAAAGTCTAATTTTGATTTACTATTATCTAAAACAGAAGAGATGTCATGGAGCACAGCAGGGCTTGGGTGTCCAAGACGGCGGTGTCATGTTGGGAGGTCGACTTTGGAGAGGTGAAGTTGTGCTGGGGGGGCAGGCTTGAGAGAGTGGGTAGAGGTGTCTGTCACTACTGGATCGATGAATCACGGCTCCCGTCAGTTTGTCCTTCACAGAGAAACCAGATGAGTCAAATTCAACGGAGCAATTGTTATCACGAGTAAATTGACGGACAGAGATAAGGTTGTGAATAATGTGAGGGGATATAAGGACATTATTTAGGGAGAGGGGAGGATTGGTTTTAAGGGTTCCGTTACCAGATCCCGTAGTTCTTACTCTAGATCCATTGCCTACAATAATATGAGAAGGTGAATTAATGTTTGAAGGAAATACATGAGATAAAGTACCTGAGTCGGCGGTGACGTGGTGCGAGGCTCCGGTGTCCATGAACCAGGTTGGGTGGGAGGTGAGGTGTAGGTTTTCAAGGC